ACATACCTGCTCATCATCACACAGGTGAAGAAACTGAGATTTAGAGAGATTCGTTGACTTGACTGAGGCCAGTATACCTGACTCCTAAGGCTGCTGGAACCAAAAACCACAGACAAGATGGCTGATGGAAGGAGCCCTGGTGATGTAATGTTACTCATTGGCTTGTATATTAGACAGGGTCTCTAAAGAAACAAAACTAGATAGATAGATAGATAGATAGATAGATAGATAGATAGATAGATAGATAGATAGATAGATATAACATAAGAAACAAACAGTGCATTAATCCATAAAGCAGTACAAATGGCTCAGTGCAACTCACTTCCATGAGACAGCTAATACACTGGCAGTCCTTCAAGTCTTGAGGGCTGCCAGGTAGTCCTCTGTAGAGCAATTCTGGCTATCCAGCCACAGGCAGCAAACAGCATGGCAGGTCACCAACAGTCAGCCAGATGACAGGATCCCACATTCCCCAGCTCAAGCGATGTATACTCCGGTAGCGTGGCAAAGCAGGTCTTGAAGGAACCTCAAACTACAACGACACAGTCCATGGGTTAGGTGTCCCACAGGTAGTGTAGCTGGCAAATTGAGGTAGAGAACAAGCTAAGGCAACCGCACGCTGGTCTGATCATCAATGAACAAGAGACAAGAAAAACGAGGCTCGCCAAGCCATTGATCTCTCTGCCCTTCAGTTAATCCCATGTGTGTTCATTGGCCCTGATTGGCACAATACACCTATCACAGCTTGGAGCCACAAAGTCAGCAGGTGGAAACCACCGGCTCCTCTTCGGGAGAACAATGAGGCTGCCTGCTCCTGTAAAGAGCTGCAGTCTCAGAACCCACAGGGGCAGTTCTTCCCTGTCATATTGGGTTGCTATGAGTCTGAATCAACTTGACTGATGGCAGTAACTTTGGTGTTTGGGTGTTGGGTAGCTTTTAAGGATAGAAATGCATTGCCACTTAGGTCTGGAGGCAGAGTCTGAATTCAGGACATTGAGCGAGCCCCACTCTGTGGGGGTGGGGTTGGGGGGTGTAGGAAATACTTGGAACTCTTCTGGTCTCTGGTAGCGGCAGGCTTTTCTTGGCATCTGTGATTGTAGCTGCATCATCACTTGGCTGTCTTCCCCCTGGCTCTCTGTGTGTCTTCTCTCTTGTAAAGAGGCCCTGAGCTTGGGGAAGACCCTTCCTACGTTGGTGTGACCTCACATTAATGTAGTTGACAACACCTTTAAAGACCCTATTTTCGATGAAGGTCATATCCACAGCTACCAGGAATGAAGACTCAGCATAGTTTTGTCTGGGAACACCATTCCGTAATGTGTACATCGTAGAGGGTGCAGCTAGCATCTCACTGACTTCTAAGTCCACCTCCTCAGGCTCCACGGTCTACAGTGATCATTTTGTTTTCTCCCCAGTCTCCTGGTTCTCCCCATTCTCCTGGCATCAGAACACTCAGTCTGCTTTGGGGAGCCCACTCTTCCTGCACTGAACAGAATCCAGAAGGGCTGTCAATCAAGCATCCTGCCCTCTCTCAACTAAGAAGTGGACTCCTGATCCAAGCTGTGCCCTTCAATGCTGGTCGCTGCTACCCATCCCTCTTGGATCCCTGGTTCCCGGGTGTCCATGCTGATCGGCTTGCCTTTCACTCTGTGACTCATCCCCTGTTCTTCCAACAAATTCCCTTTTCCTCAGTTTTCCAGAGGCTTTGGTAGCATAAAACCAAATATCTGCACTAATACACCGTCACATCACCCTCAGAGCCCCAGTGTGAGCTGAAGTAAGTTTCCACAACTGCGGACTAGAAGGGGTAACACCGACCTCACAAGAAGCAGGAGGGATGGGGATCTTGTGTTCGAGAGCCAAGTCTTGCCAGTGTCCCTAGTTTTAAACACCTCCCTCGGGCCCCCACCTCCTGGGAGAAGCTTCTCCCTGCTGACGTGGGGCTGCTAGACACGCAGGTGCTGCACACTCAGCAAAAGCAGCGGAGGAGGCTGAGCTATATTTGAACTTCCCTGAGAGCAGACAAATGCAGCCTCCTGGGCACTGGCTGGCCGCGGAGAGTGGCGATGAACAGTCCCCCTGTTCTGAGCACAAGGGGACAGGTAATGGCACGGCAAGTTCGGGATCGCAGCCGTGGCTGATCTCTCCTCCCGCAGACCTATTTTTAGGTCATCACAGGTGCCAACCAGCATGACCATGACAGGGCTGTGGGACAGAGGAGGGGCTCTCCTTGAAGAACTTACAAATTAGGCTCGACGGGAGTTGCATGAAGCAGACACCTGACCACATAAAGCATTCTTTCTTCCATGTAGCTAGAAGTTCCGAGGCAGGCAGACCCAGCTGAGAGAAAGGCCCAGAGAAGCCATGCATTCCTCATGGGCCAAGGAACGCACATGTTCTCAGCGCTGCCAAATGGCTGATCCCCTTCCAGACATCTAGCCCACAATCCAGGTAGGAAAAAAAGGGGAAGACAAGGGGTGGGGGGGAGGAAGTCTTCTCTTTTGTATGAGAAAGACAATGGCTTCCCAGGAAGCCCCATGTACATTCCTCCTTACAGTTTAACTGGTCTGAACCCAGCGGTTCTCAACCTGTGGGTTGTAACCCCTTTGGGGGTCAAATGACCTTTTCACAGGGGTCCCCTGATTCATAACAGTAACAAAATTACAGTGATGAAGTAGCAACGAAAATAATGTTATGGTTGGGGGGGTGGCCACCACAACATGAGGAATTGTATGAAAGGGTCGCGGCATTGGGAAGGTTGAGGACCACTGTTTAACCCCTCTCTGCGAGGGATTGCAAGGGAACTATTTCTAAGTAGATATGCTGATACCCAAACAAAAGGGATTTTGTTACTAAGGAAGAAGAGGACAATCAGTCTTGGTCTGTCCCAGAAGGTGAGACAGAGGAAGGGTTCGTAATGAGGGTGACCTCTGAGGGCCTGCGGTAGAAGTTCTTAGGAACACAAGATATGGATCAATGGGCCCGGTAGAGCTACAGACTAGGCATCAGTCTGTTAACAGCAAGACTGGTGATTCAAACCCACCAGCCATTCCTCGGGAGGAAGTTAACGCTATCTGCTCCTGTGAGGAAACCCAATGGACTCCACTGCAGTGGGGTTTGCTGTAAAAAGTTAGAGAGCTGTTGGGAAGATGGGCTTAGGACTGTCGGGGTCCCCTCCTCCATCCTCACTGTGTTCTACAGAGAAAGTTAGAAGTCATGCAAACAGTCCTTTTCAGGTGGCAGCACCCTTGGAGAAATGTGTGCGAGGTGCCAAACCCATCGCCCCGGAGTCCATTCTGCCTGCTAGAGACCTCTCGGGTTACAGAGCACCGCCTAGCTAAAGGGCTTTCATGCTGTGATCTTTACAGAAGCAGGTGGACACACCTTTCTCCCCTG